TCTGAGCAGAGCAATTCATCCCAAAAGTAGGGCTTGGTGAGATGCTGTTTTATAAAGCAAAAGAGGGTGGGATCTGTTGTCAGCCGTCGTCAGTCATGGTGGACAGTCTGGACCAGGTAACGGAAGCACCAACTTTGACCAATCTGGGCATCTCCAGACTAACCTCAAAACCACCATAGGGAAAAGCGCCAGATACTGCTTTCTGCGATAGATGGCTTCTCTTGACCTTTTAAGGAAAAACAGGATGATTTATATATGCAGGTTCTTTAAGCCTTTCCTAACTGGAATTGTTAAGTTGCACCCCAGAGGGAATGCAGGCAGCACTGTAAGAGGAAGAAAGGAAAAGCCATGTCTGCTGGCTGAACTCCGTCCTCCCCTTTTCCCAAGCGCAGCACTGAATGATGCCACTGCCCAAGGCCCCGTCTCCCTGGAAGGTCTTCCTGGTACCTCGAGAGTCTTCCCACCCACCAAGAGGCAGTCACTTGACGTGAGCTGCAAACTAGCGAGACTGAATTTCTAGGTTACGTGCTGTTTGATCTTTGCATGGAATCGTATGTTCCAAATTTTCCAGTAGAACTCTCCTGTCACATATTCAGTCCTGTTGGTCCCTTAAGTACACATGTGTTTGTCAGATCTTACCCTGATTTAGGGCTAGAAAAACAGGCTCCTCACATGCATGGGCCAATAGTGATCTTGTGTTCACAGAACATTTGACAGCAGTTGCTTCACCAGGCTTATCTAGGGCCCGTTTTCTTTCACCAACATGAGCAGCCAGCCCTGAAGAAGGCCCGACACTCGCTTATCAGCTGTGAGCATGGCCTATCTGAGAACACTTGGGTGGAGAAATGTCGTGTGTTTTCCAAATTAGAACTTGAGTTGGAGGAGCTGTTTCTGGGGCAGCTGTGAGCCAATCCCAAGAAGCTGTTAAACATCCAGGCCCCGAGAGCCAAACTCTACACAGCAGGGTGGAGAGGAGGAAGTCTGGCTGCACGCCTTCACAAGCCAGCCTGGCTCTGCCACCCCAGGCGGGCCGCGAGGAAAGCAGATGGAAGCGAGAGCCTTTCCTGGACCAGCCTTGGAAACATCTGGGCTCTCCTGGAAGCAGGGACTCCACTAGACTCTCCTGCCTTCCCAGCAGATGTTGCAAGCACGTGTCACTGCTTTATAGACTCAGGTCGTGGAGGCTGAGAGCCACTGTTTAAGTGTGTGGGGGGCATGTGCACAGTGGTGAAGCCACACTCTAGGAGCCAGACCACCTGGCACTGAGCCCTGTGCCACCACTTCCCAGCTGTGTGACCCTGGGCAGATCACTCCACTGCTCTGGACCCACTCTTCTCATCTGAAACATAGGTTACGAACAGTGCCTACTTCCTAGGGCTGTTGCTGGGAGGAGCTGGAATGATGCAGTAGAGTGCTGAGGGCTGCTCTTGCCCATGGCAAGTCTTCAGGACACGCTCATCAAGTTGGAGGGCCTTTGGTGTTCCAGGGCAGTCCTTCACTGGCAGAATCCCCGGCAAGGCACTTCCTCAAGTCACTGCTTGGATACCTCTGTGGATGGGGAATCCACTATCTCTTAGAGCGCCCTACTCCACCTTCAGATCAGCCTGTTTCTTGGACAGATAAGTGTTTATCTGTGTTGAACCTAAGTCTTTCCCGGACACTTCCCAGCTGGTCGCAGTTCCATCTCTGTGGTCAGACAGAACTCATCTAACCCCTCTTCCTCAAATAGCAGTTGAGATCCTCTGAAAATCACTGACGCTACCCTCCTGCCTGTGCCTTTTCACCGTTCCTGACAAAATGCCTTCAATTTCTTCTAATGATTATTGAATGATGTTGTTTCCAATTCCTTCATTCTTGTGGTTTCTGCCTTCTGAAGGCACCCTGTGCTTACGAATGTGACTTGGCTCCATGTGCACGGAGTCCCTCCCACGTGCCCGAGACACAAAGATGAGAAGACATGCTGAGACTCAAGCAGCTCTCGGCGAGGCAGGGAATGGCATTCCAGGCAGGGGGAACCACACGCGCTGGGATTGGAGGCACGAAGCCTGAGAACTGCAGGGTGTATTGCTCAAGCCTGACGTATAAACTGGGAGTCATTTGAGATCAAACTGGGGAAGAAGGCAGGTGAGTTTACCTGGAGGTGACAGGGAGTCACTGGGTGACTTTCAGCTACAAAGGGACATGTTCCAGTGTGTACTTCAGGAAGAGCATTTTAAGTGTCGCTTGAAGACCGGGCAACACTGAAAGCCGGGAGACCAGTTGACCAAATGACGCGCACGAAGGGGACAGAGGAGGAAAACGAGTCGTGGGCGGGAAGGACTGACAGTGGCTCTTCTCCTGGGGCCAGGACAATGAGTGATTGCTTTTTTCTTCTTGCTTCCCTGTGTTCTGTAATTTCTCTATAACAAGTATTTTCTGTTTTCTCTATAATTAGCATATATGATTTATACAGTAAGAAAAATGTATTCATGTCTAAAGATACTTTGAAACCAACCCGGCAGGACTTGGTTACTGGGTGGAAGGAGGAGCCTAGGAGATCAGTTTTCTGGCCTGGGTGCTCAGGTGAGTGGCACCCCCAGCCTGGATGGGGGTGTGAGGAACAGGACGTTTGGCAGGAATTCTTATGGCGTCGCTGACAGCTGAAACAATGCCCACAAGCTGCTTTCACTCCGCTTGGCCTCTCTCCAGCCTGTTCAGTGGCCTGTGTCCCCTGCAGGCCCTGACACTCACCTGTCCCTTAGACACCTTATCTGGAAAGCAGATGTCTGTGCAGCAATACTCAGCAGCGCTGCAGGACAGCAATAGCGTTTATTTAGATGATAAGTTTTGTCAGTCCTTCAGTAAATATTTACTGAGTTCCCACATATGCTCAGCACCAAGCCAGGCCTTAGTGACAAAACAGGGAGACGAGCAGGCACAGTCCCTCCTCACAAAACTCAGCCTAGTGTGAGAGACAGATATAAATGTTTTAAAATCCCGTGAAGGAACGTAACATTTCAAACTGAGGTGCACTCTCCAGAGGAAAGGAAATCGTTCCGAGAAGACTTAAAGGACACGTCTCTGGTCTGGGAGTTGGGTGATGATCCCTGGGGAAATGCTGGACCCTGGAGAAACAGATGCTTGGGCTGAGAGTGAAGGATAAGTAGGAGGGAAGTGGGGAAAAGCATTCCAGGTTGAGGGAACAGCATGTGTGGTGGCCCTGTGGTGGGAGGAACAGTAGCATATTCCACTTTCTGAAAGAAGAGCTGTTTTACTGGAGTGGGTTGGGGAGAGGCAGTCAGTGGAGAGGTGGGTGGAGGAGACCCGACAGGGTCCTGGAGGGGCCCAGGAAGGATCTTGTCTTCATTCTAAGAGCAGAGGAAGGCATTCAAAGTTCCAGCAGGCCTGAGGCAGCCTGCTGAGCAGCCCTCTAGCTGCGGCCTGGAGGGGAGCTTCCCAGTGGGTGTCCCTTTATGTCCCACACCCACCGTTCTCTTGCCGTTGGAGGCTGTGGCACTGAGGCCCACCGAGACACCCCCTTATGCCTGGGTAGCCCAGATTTGGGGTTCCCCCCACCTCGAGTAGCACTTGGTACACGTCCCCCACCCCTACCCCCAGCAGATGCCCTGAAAGCTGCTTTGCGGTTCAATTTTCAACTTTCTTCGCGGCTCTGCATACTCTAACACTAATGTGTGTACAACTTGCTAATTAATGGAATCATTTCAATCTGAAAACATCTTGTTCTAATGGGAGGCTGCAAGCACTCTCATTAATTCGCAGGTAAAATCATTCCAGCTTTTCTTTTCTTTCTTTCTTTTTTTTTTTTTTTCTTTTTAATCTTCCCAGCTTGGCTTAATAGCTGGGAAGAATCGTTCTAATCAGCCTTGTGAGAATCACACCACCGGAATGAAAAGCACCAACAACAGCCTCAGGGTTTGGGAAGGGGGTGGCCGGCCTTAGTTTACCCAGGGGCAAGCACGGTGGATAAACGTGAGGGTGAAATGCCCCACACACAGAAGGTAAAGACACAAAAAGTGACCTGTGTAGTGTGACCTGGACGGGGTGTCCTGTCCTGTGTGTATCAGAGGTGGCACTCAGGGTGACTTTCTGCACCACTGGCTCGGCTGGAGGGAAGCAGGAGCTGCCTCCACATTCTCACCTGGAAGGTGAAGACTCACTGCACTCGCCTGGGCAGGAATCTCACACGTGACTTTCTCGGGGCTGGGTGTCATCTGGGGGTGACTTGCTGGTAACCACCTTCCTGCCATTTGCGAATGATTTGCAGTGTCGCTTTAAGTAAGTGGCATCCCCAGTGTGTTATCTCTGATGGAGCCGAGCTTAGTAAGGGGGGCCTTCTCCCCACAGAGCACGGTGCAAGCCCCAGACCCCACCGACAACACCCACGTCCCCAGGCGGGCTTTTCCTTGACTCTTTTTACCAGAAGGATCTGGGTGCTTTCTAGAGTTTCTTTTCTTGTGGTAATAAGAACATAACAAAATTGATCATTTTAACGATTTTCAAGTGTCCAGCTCAGTGGCAGTAAGTATCTTCACACGTTGTACAACCGTCAGCACCACCCAGCTCTGGAACTTTTCCCAGTCCCACCGTGGGGAAAACCTAGAGGACAAGTGAGTCCCTGCAGGGCCATCTTGAGTCCACATGAGCTCTCACTGTCCTGAGACGCTGCTCTAGGAGGAAAAGGCGCTCAGTTGCCTGTAAGATGGGGTATTACACAATCTGATAGTTATGGATGGAAACAACATGTTCTTCCCCTCAGAAGTACAGCAGCTGCCAGTCCTTTGCTTTGGATGAGTCTCCAAGACAGATTTGGAGTGAGGCCAACCTGGATTTAGACCCCTGCACCATCAATCCTTGGTGTGTGGCTCTGAGCCTCAGTCTTCTCATCTGAACACCAGGGCTGGCAGTTCCTTCCTTGCAGAGTTACCGGAAGACGGCATGAGATGGCGTCAGCACGGTACCCGCAGTGACGCTTGGTTCAGTGAGTGCCTCTGTCCCCGCAGGTCTCCAGGTGGTCCTGAATTCCATCATCAAGGCCATGGTCCCCCTGCTGCACATCGCCCTGCTCGTGCTGTTTGTCATCATCATCTATGCCATCATCGGCCTGGAGCTCTTCATGGGGAAGATGCACAAGACCTGCTACAACCAGGAGGGCATAGCAGGTAAGAGGGGCAGGCAGCCGTGCTCCCAAGGCCCTGCCCTCTGTCACTCCCGGCACCTTTCCTTTCCCGCTGCTGGCCACACCAGCATGACCAGCAGAGCCCGGGGAAGGTCCCGTTCACTCAGACGCCCACTGGGCGTGTTTAAGTGAGAGGCAGAGAGACCCATATCCTTTTTTTCTCAGTTCCAATTTTTGTTTTAATCTGTTAAACCAGCCTAACGCAAACTTCGTTCAGCACTTTTCAATAAGCTACACAATTTGAGAAATATTTGAATAACTTAGATCCTATCTTTCGTCAATCTGCCACTTTTCAAGCAAACCCTGAGTGTTTTAAGAATCAGAGCTGACCTGGGAACATCAGTCTCTGCTCCTTCCACGTTTCAGTGTGGCTGGCCGTCGGGTGCCCTTTCAGGGGGGCCGCTCAGCCTTGAGCAATAGGCTCTCCCAGCACCGCTCTAAGATCTTTCTACCTTCATGGTGCTGATTCCAGATCCTCTGTAATTATTGTTTCTGCTTCTCCATTCACAGGCAGATGCCCCTGAGCCCCTATTCCAGGTGAGGGAGGAGGACAGGTGGGAATCACCCCCTTGCCGGCAGCCAAACTTCCTCCCTTCAAGGAGAAGGCTTAGTTCTACCCCATGACTCCCAGTCCCTTCCTTTTTGAGCCTTCTCGCTTCACGTTCCTTCCATAAATCAATATATTTAACAGCAGTGCTGGTTCATTAGGCACTTCCCTGCGTGGCACTGGAATTTTGGCTTGCAGGATATGCTGCAAGCTGCTGCTAAAGCTACTAACATCGCAGCTTGGCCTTTTAAAGAAACATTTAAACAGAAATTGACAAGGCTTTTAAACAGACAGATAAAGCAGCTTAACACAAAGAACTTGCTGAAAAAATATCCCCCGCCCCAAAGGGGCTAGCCGTGTTAAATGTATGTGATTTTTTTTCACACAGCAAGATCCATCATCTTAGTTTTTGGCATCTTGGTGGAGAAAGGGGAGCATCATCTGCCAGGAACAGTGAAGGATACCTAATTTTCTCCATCGACACTGCCCCTCATTCCCACTCAGTCCCAGCATTCAGTTAAATGGGACCTCTCGCTTCGCTGGGGTGAGGAGGGATAGCTTCCAAACAACAGGGGGTGAAATTTGTAGAGAAATCAAAATAGAATACTTTCTATGTATAATCTAGTATGACTGGATGGATTAACTGCATATTTGAGGGGGTTTCTAGTTTATTTCCACATAGCCACCGTCCTAAAAACAAAACAAAAAACCACACACACAGAACGTATACTCCTATAGACACAGAATCACACCAATGTTTTCACTTTTTGATGGAAGTCTGTTTAACAGGAGACTGTTTTTTCACTCTAGAGAGAATTTCCAAATTACTTGGGTCATAATCATATAAAATAAACTATCCTGTTTTCAAAAATAGAATCCTTGTTAAATTGGAAAAAGGAGATCTTGCCTGTAGCTAAAATTCTGAGATTTTCAGCCTTGCTTAAAGAGATGCCAAACCAGAGATGAATAATATTTTCCCCTTTAATTAAAATCCTTCCTTTTATTCAGGTTGATTTGTAGCTAGCTCAGAACCAATAAATTTATTGACTTGTGTGGCCCTGTGAGAGCTCGTTTTAAGACTCCGTAAGAACTGACTGTGGTATGCCTAAAGTTGATGCAGTTGTATTGAAATTGTCAATGACCATTTGACCCGAACTCCTCAGGAAGTCATAGATATGTGGAGTCTCAAAGATTCCCCGTCAGTTCAGCAGTGATGATGGTGAGGCTGTCACCAGCAAAATGGGGGAGAGCGAAATGGTGGAATTCAGCCGTCGAGCTGAAGATGGTGGCCCTGCTGTGCAATCAGATGTCTATGCACCACAGAGCTAAGGAGAGGGGCTCTAGTGCTGCAGGCGGTTTCCATCATCCTAACGAGAAAGCAGCCCAAGTGTGTTTTCTGCCGGTGGTGGGCTCTTGCAAGGGCCTGTGGGAATAAGTGGCCCTGAATACTGGTTGGAAGTCCAGGGCTTTGTTACCAGGTCTCAGTGACCCTGGAGAGTCAGAAAATGGTGGGCATGGCAGACAAAGAAAGCATGGCACAGGGAGGGAGCCGTCCTCAAGGTCAGAGCCACAGGGCCCAGTGAAGAGGTCGCCCCAAGTACTGAACCTGTCATGGACTCCTCTTCTCTTAGGACAAAGATAAGACTTGGCCTCCCCAATTGGAATGACCAATTTAGGATCACATCGTCCATCCTTGATAGTAAACAGGACCACGAAAAGTGCCTGAGAGGTTGCCTCCTACCAAGAGACTCATCAGACGGTTGATGTGATGGGTTTATCTTTGCCGGCAAGTTCAGAAGAGAAGTAGGCTCCCATCACGGAAATGGCAATGAGCCAAGGGGGCCAGGACAACAACAGAAGTGCTCCAGGGAGAAGGGCCCTACCAGGCTCCATGAGAAGGTGGCCTCCCTCATTCACCTGAACCAGAGTCCCTGCTGGGAAGAGGGGCCCAGGACACAGCTGCAGAAGCCTGTCCTCTCAAATACTCTGCAATCAAGAGCTTGCTGTCCCTTCGTTCCCAAACCTGCCATCTGATCACAAGCCAGGACCCACTCTGTCACTCTTAGCACAACATGATGCTGCTGCCATCAAGCCCTCCTTGTCCACCCACATAGTTGGCAGTGCAGACAAGGAAGGAAAATGTGCAAGAACCCAGACATATCTGTGCAGCCGTGGAGAAGACCAAATACTTGCAGGCTTTGAAACCAACCCCTAAGTGTTTTGGAGAGTTTTATATAAACTTTGGAATGGGTGGTTTAAATTTTTTCTTTCTTTTTTTTTTTCTTAATTTCAGACTTTGGGTTGAATTACCCTATTTTCTGCAAGTTTAGATTACACAAAAGTGCTTTGTGAGCCCTCGTTGTAATTTTTGATGAGATTTACATCAAATTATTTTATAGTCCAATATTATTTCACAGACTGTGAATTTTATATATCTCTAGATTTCAAAATACATTGGATTTTGATCCATGTTTCCAACAAAATCCACAAAGAAAGTTACGGAATTGTTCAGGTGAACCATATTCTGCCTCTAGACTGCCCTTCCAGGCAACAGCCCCTGGTGAAGATGGTCTCAGAAGACGCAGCGTTTCCCTAATCCCGGGGACATCTGCACGGCGCCTTCTCAGCTCCTCAACAGACACATCACCATATGCCGATACCTTTTGTTTCTGGTTGTCCCATCTGTTTGATGGTGTGCTGAGCCAGGTCACTCTGAATAGCTTCCCAAGCACAGTAATTACCCCTGAGACTGGCACAGAATTGGTTGGCTAAAACCTAGAAGTGAAATCATCTTCATTCTATTCACTCCTTAAAGTTGAGTTTTAAAAAAGTAATTGATTTCTGTCTTTAGTGATTTCTCCTTGGAATCACTAACTGGAGCTCTCCCAGGATTTCGTGTTTTTGTTGGTATTAACTGCGTTTCTAAAATCTCTCCTAATCTTCACCTCCATTATTTTACCGAAAACTTAATTTGGACTTTCCAGACTGACTCTACCTCTCTTCATGTCTGTCTTAAAATACAGAACTTGCATTGCTTTGTTTCCTTCTCCCACCTCATGTTCCCACTTTCCTCCCCAGGACTTCATGACTCTGCAAAAGAAAACCAACACATTTTTATGTTTTAAGCAAATTTCTCCTCACCCTAGAGTGTGTGTTGCTAGGACCTGCTGATTTGTGTGTGTTCACATTTTTTCAAGTGTTCGCTTTGGTGCTTTTTATAGATACCTATTTTTACCAGATCATCACTGCTTCTTAATTGTTCTCAAGTCTTTTTCATTATTGTTCAGATCAGATTTTAAATAGCGAAATGGCACTAGAGCCTTTAGATAATGTTTCTGAATCTCATCCCTTTCTCTCTTATTAGTGAGACCACTTCCCCTGGATGCCATTTTCTTTCTCACAGATATTCGTAAAATCCCCAGAGACGTTTTCCTTCCTCGAGCACACTCAGAACTCCCTTTGGCAGCCTTCTCCTTTGCCCTTTTTGTGACGTCTCGGGAATTGAGAGTGCAGGGAATGCTGTCGGGTGAGCGGTCCCAATGTAAAGATAAACTGCATCTTTATTCTGCGAAAAAGCAAAACATGAGAAAAAGATGCAAGGGCTTCCCCTTCACTTTTTCACCGTCTCTCTTTGTCCCGTCTCTCCTATCATTCCAGCACTTTTATCACAGCGACTGAACGCGTCTCTCTAGAAAGCTAGGACTAGAATGGGTGAGAACCCAACAGAATTAATGATCTACTTGGCTCTTGGTTTTCCAGTCTCTCAACTCTCAAATTTTTAGGTGCTCATTATCTACTTTTTCATGTATTATTTAGGCTTAGGGTTTACATTTTAGTCTCCCCCTTTTTTGTAGCGTCACATCCAAATCTCTAAAGATTTCACAGTTTAAAAAGTCATAAAAAGTTGTAGTCAGAGGACTGCTTATTTCAGCTGCGTTAATGGAGCCCTCCTGGGAGCTAGACCCTGAAATAAGGAAATGGTGTGGATACTGTCTCTCTAACAGTTCAGGGACCAGCAGTGCAGACCTTTGCACCTTGATCAACAAACACAGGACTCACACACAACTTTAAGCACTGGCCCAAGAATAAGCCAGGAAGCAGCATTATTCATAATAGCCCAAACCTGGACACAATCCAGACGTCCATCAGCTGGTGAACGGATAAACATACAATGAAATACACTGCTCAGCAATAAAGAGGAACAGAGCCTACTGATATATGCAACAGCACGGATGAAGCTCAAAACATTATGCTAAGTGAAAGAAGATGGACATAAAAAGCCTCATAGTGTGTGATTCCATTTATATGAAATTTCTAGAGGAGGCAAAGCAATGGAGGCAGAAAGCAGATCAGGTTGCCAGGGACTGGGGATGGGAGCAAGGATTGACTGCAAACCGGCGAGGGGGGTTTCGGGGAGTAATGGCCGTTCTTTAAAATGGATTGTGGTTATGGCTGCATGACTATGTAAAAATTTACTAAAAATAATTAAGCTGTACATTTACACTGATAAATTCTGAGGCATGTAACTTGTAAGTCAATAAAGCTGATGGGGTCAGTGGGAGAGAAAGAGAGGAGAGGAGAAGAAGGAGGAGGAAGAGAAGGAGAAGGAGGAAAATGAGCAGGAGGAGGAAATGAAATTGGCAGAGAACAAGGAGGAGGAGGAGGCCACAAAGATGACCACGCAGGTGCTGATGACAATGAAGAGGAGGAGGAGGAGAAGGAAGAGGAGCTGCCACTGCTGCTGGGAAGACACTATCGGGCATATATTTTCAAGTAGACTATATTCTCCTAAAAATTATCTCTTACTTAAGGATTAATATTTCTCGTCTGGTCTTCCTCTTGGGAGTGAACAGTTTCAAATTTAAAGCCACCAACTGAGAATCAGCCCACCGGCCAGTCATCTTCAATGCGGAGCCTAATGTAGGCAAAGTAATCACACTTATGATTGTTTTGATACATGAAACCAGAAAACAATCCTGGGTGATCTGTTGTCTCTAAATGAAGAACTATAAGCAAATTCTCTCTCTCTCTCTCTCTCTCTCTCTCTCTCTCTCTCTCTCTCAGCGTATTTTCATTGTTATAGGCAATCGTTTAGTTGTTGGAACTGGGATCTCTTCTGTCTGTTATTGTCATTACTTTGTCTAAGGACAGGACAATGTCCTTGATTTCACGAACTTTTGTGAATTCCACACCATTACCTTCCATAGCCAGCACCAAGACTTTCTCAGTGTTTTCCCGTAATCGAAATTCTTAGATCAGTCAGGTCTTGTTTAAATTTACCAGCAATCTCCACACTCAAAATATCAGTCACATCTTCATTCATTAATTTGCTGGTAGCTATTTCCCGCACGTGGCATTAGTCCAACTGCTGCCTTTAGCCACAGACACTGTATTCTACTATTTCCTGACCAAGCCGCGTCCGTACTGAGGAAGCACGCTCCCTGTTATTCACTGCCGCTCTGTCTTGATTAGAGGTCAGAAAATGATTCTTCTCTTCTGAAAGGTATTCATGCTGCAGAGCAAAGGGCAGAGCTGCCAAGTCCCACATGACATGCATGAAATACAGTCAGTAGTGTGTACTCGCAGGCTGCAATGAAAACGGCTGCAGGCGATCCCTCTCCACAGCAGTCAGAATCCGTTTTCCGTCTTTCACCTATATAAGGCTTCACTGTAAAGTGACTTGCATCCCTGGCAATGTTTTATCCTCTAATACGTGATGGGCCCATGTAGTTAGAAAGCATTATTGGATGGGATCGGTTGGCTTAACTATGTGAAGGAGTGTTTGCATCAGTGTTGTCCTTACCCTAAATTCTGGTATTCCAACACAAGTGTCTGTAGAACTCTACCACCAAAAAAAGAAAATATGGACTTCCTAATCGCTTTCTGGGTCAGTTTCCACTTGCAGTGGTGGCATCATCATTATTTTTTCATTGGCCATTTGATTATGATGCTGACATGTTACAACAGAATGGGCAATAGAAATCAGTTACTGAGACTAAAATACAGCTTTTACAACAGTGAGTGAAAAGGACTGACCTTCTAAATTAACGGCAGCCTAAACGGAATGCCTACTTTCTTATGTTGCTTGATTCACATCTAGGGGACATGATTTAAGCGTGTCTTGCACTGTTGTTGCCATGGTTGCTTTGCCCATCCCATCAACCTCATCCTGTCACTTTTCTCTCTGACTTTTTTCTCTGCCCACATCTCTGCCCCGCTGCTGCTCCCGTCTCCTGTCTTCTTCTGGCCATTTGAGATGTTCCAGCAGAAGATGACCCTTCCCCTTGTGCGCTGGAAACAGGCCATGGGCGGCAGTGCCAGAACGGCACGGTGTGCAAGCCCGGCTGGGATGGTCCCAAGCACGGCATCACCAACTTTGACAACTTTGCCTTCGCCATGCTCACGGTGTTCCAGTGCATCACCATGGAGGGCTGGACGGACGTGCTGTACTGGGTATGTAGTATGAGTGGGCAGTCAGAGGGTGGGGGCACAGAGAACACAGAGGTGTTCACTGACACCTCCCTTTCTCCTCCTCCCCATGCTCTTGGGGTCACATACACATCTCAATAGAATGGTTGATGAAGAGCATCTTTGATTTCTTCCAGGTCTTGCCTGAGAAACAAGGCATGAGCTTTTCACCCTAACAAGTCCCCTCCCCAACCCGCTGGCCTTAGGGAAAGGTCGTTTTTTCAGTGTGTCCCACCACAGTGCAAAACCCTGGTGTGCAGGCATGGATGAGCTGGCACAAGGGTTCCGTTCAACTCCTCCTCCCATGCGGCGTTCCTTCTGCCCTCATCCTTTTCTTGCCTCTTTCCTCAAAAGGGAGCTAGAAGGCAGAATTATGAATTCTTTGGGCTGAAGAGAAAAAGTCAGTCCTGATCTTCTAAAAAGAAATTATATAAAGGAACCATTTTTATTGAACTGTGAAGCATTGTGACATGCTATTCAATTTTTACTCTCTATTTTAATCTTACCTTAACATATTAGAATAGTCCATCAGACAAATGCATTGGCAGCGTTTTTACCATTCCCAAAACATGCTGCTGGTCATGTGATGCCTATTTAGAAATACGCTTTTTAAAAAATGTTTATTTTACTTTCAGTTCTGGGATACATGTGCAGAACGTGCAGGTTTGCTACGTAGGTATACATGCAACATGGTGGTTTGTTGTACCCATCCACCCATCGTCTATTCAACCCCACATGCATTAGGTAGAGAAATAGCATTCTCGAGAGCCACCCAATCATTAGTAAATCTTCATTTACCTTAAAGTTGCCCCTTTTATTATCCAGTAGCCAACGCTACTTTGCTGCGCTTCCAGCCTCTGAAGTGCCAGATTTTTGTACAGCCTACCCCACAGGCAAACCCACACTCCGTCTTTGAGCTGTCTCGATTCTGGCAAAGTCCGTTATTAGGAAAAACTCCAGAAAATATATTCTTCATCGTGTCTCCAACTTCAGCATGAGAAATGACTTGCCAGAGTCCAGCGCTGTCCTCCAGAATTTGGGTGAATAAAAAGCATACTGCTAGTCTTACAAATACCATCTCCTTCAGAGTTTTGCAAACAGGCAAATGTATTTGGCCATCATGAAAACAATCTAAGAGCCTACTCAGGGAACACGTCTACAAACCAAAGCAGGGAAGAGTGAGAGGGGAGCAAATGCTTCCCGTTGAGCAGAGCTGCCAGATCAAAAGGAAATCATGCCAAGAGAGGCATCGACTTCTTCCTGAATCGGAAGGAAGAGTTTTGTAACTGTACAGAGATGTGGTGCACAGTATTCTGTCATATGTCTTCTTTAAAAGCACCATGTCCTATTGATTTGAAATCCCTCTTTCTCAGTTTTTATGTGGTAGTCAACATGCCAACACCCAGTGTTGCTATGACATGTGTCCCTCTCTCTGTAAGTGATGACTTGAAACTTGCCCGAGGACCTGGTACCCAGCAAACATTTCCTGAGTGTCCTTGCATGCCAGGGGTGCTCCTAGGCTCTGAGGATTCAGTCGTAAATAAGATCCAGTCCAGTTCAATTAGCTCAGTCTAGGAAGCCAACTAAATTCTAAAGCGAATAATGGCAATATGGCTGCACCCGTGCTGCGGCAAAGCTGCCGCGTTGTGATGCTTTCAAAAAGAAGACAAAGGTCAGATCCCCTCTGCCTCAAGCTAAAGTGGAACACTGGAAAACATATTTGAGATTCATGCTCGATAAGAACTTGGTTTTGAATAATTTGTAAGACAGAGAGAAGGAGTTGAACTTATTACACTTAGGCAAATTTATTTTGTTTAGCGAAGCAGACCAAATTCCCAAGTGGCCCTAACTGGTCCTTCTTCCCGGGGTGGGTCCCTCTGAGCAGCCAAGGACAGAAACATCCTTATCCTTCTGCCAATAGGCAGTTTCTGCCTACAGCCCATAGAATAAATGATTGTGTGGGACTGTGCTGTGGGGCCTCATCCCATAAGCTTCAGACCCATGCCTTCCATGGCATCAAACTGAAGGCAGGTGGCAGTGGAGGGTGGGTGGAGGGTAGGAATAGATATGATTGCCTTTGCTGATGTATTTTTGTGTTCTTCCTTCACCACTCCCTTCTTCTCCCCCACCACAAGTCATTGATGCCCCACCAGCCAGATGTGACCCAAAGAAATACTGTCATAATGACAGCCGGAGCGGGGAAGCAGAAGCAGCAACAACTGCAACCACCAATTTTCAGCAGCTGTGTTGTGCCTTCTCCCCTGGGGTGCGTGTGATAGAGCTCAGGCTGGGAATGGAAAAAGTGTCAGAGGTGAAGAAACAATCCCAGGCTCATGGGACATGCCTCTCTCTGATTTTCCCAGCACCTTCCCGAAATGGCCATGTTGTGTGTGTGTGCATTTGTATGTGTGTGTGCACCTGCATGTGTGTATACACACATGTGCACATACACACACCTAAAACTGAAACTTGGGTATTCATGATAGAAGCCCTGCCTAGCCCAGTGCTCCTGCTTTCAGTTTCTCTAATTGCTTTGACCTTTCTATGGCTGTTTCTTCCTTCTTCCTCCCTCTCCCTCTTCCTTTCTCTCCAGTGTCCCTCCTCCTTAGCCTCTAGGCCAGTATCTCCAAAGCACAGACTCTCAAATCTCAAAATATTTTAGCGTCAAACATAGAGCTTTGTCAATATAAAAATACCCAAACCTCCCTCAGAGCCATTGAATTAGAAGCTCTAAAGTCAGGGCCCCAGTATCTGCATTTTGAAAAAGCTCTCCAGGTGATTCTGATTTCCAGGCTGGAGTTTGAAAACGCTGGAAATCTAACCTATTGAACCTCATGGTGCTGGTATGATGCTGCTGACTTTGAACCCTTCTAGGGGGATAGTTTCCACAGGGAGGAGGGGGAAGTAAGGCCTTTCACTCAGAAGAATGAATTGTCCTTCAAGCACAAAGGGCAAGTCTAAAGGACTTGAGAAGGAGCAGCCAAGATTTTCAAGTGTAGTAATGCATGGAAACCCCAGAGCTCCATTCATTCTAAATCACCAAACAGCTGGAAAAGAGTAAGTCACTAAAGCATCAAAGAAGCGACTGGTCAGCCGCTGGATATGGCCTGAGATAGAAGGGACCAGGGAAGGCACCTAGCAGATGGCAGCTCTTGCTTCCTGTTGTGGGTGATACCGTCTCTTTCTCTTTTCCTCTAACATCCGTTATTGCATTCCATTGTTACGATTTTAAAGAGTGGACTAAAAATACAATCAGACTTGGTCAAGTAATACTTGAACATTGCTTCAGCTATGAAAGCCTTTGGTCATGCATTGTGCTGAGGCTCCAACAAGCCGAGCAATTTGCTGAAAACATTTCTTTTCTACCTACTATTCTGTTTGAGGAGTGTGCAGATGACAGAGTAAAGAAGGGTGGATAACCGGGGATTTGGAAACTAAACAAAATGTGGGTTTGGGGTGTAGTTTCCTTAGGAAATTATTTCTTTGGTCAAAGACTCATCCTTCACTCACAGAATGTCCAAACTTCTTAAAAACAGATGGGCAGGTGTGGGGAGTGCGATCAGATAAAAAGCACTGGCCTTCCTCAGAAGCAGTGAAGCACCAAGGAGGGAAGAACCTAATTGTATAACGTTACCATTGGTTTCCATTCTTAGTTTCACATGTTTTGTTTTTTTCAAAAATCTAAACATCCCTAGCCTTTTGCACATCATTCAAGGCTGCTTATCTCCCATGGTCTACGCATGTGCCATCTCAAGGATGCAAGAGGCTGCTGGGTCAACCTCCTTTGCAGGACCTTGTCTATGGGATTCGTAGGCATACTCTGAGAACTCCGGTTGGTCTGAAACTCTGAGCATGACCTCTTACACATTGCGGGCAATCACAGTCAGGTAACAGAAACATCCATCAATTAAACATCTTTTCAGTGCTGACTTTGTGTTCAGCACTTGAAATGAGCCCCCTGCTCATGGGAAACAGAATGACATGGCGGATGGTCTGGGGTTTGGGACACACGCAGAAGGTTGCAGGTGAGAACTGCAGGGGGGGGCAGCAGCTAGACTAGGCGTCACACCAGAGGACGTGTTTCTAGCTTTTCAGGAATCTCGATGCCTGAATAATTCATCAGGAGCATTCTGTTGACTTCTGTCCGCCCCATGCCCTTCTGGGATCCCCAAGAACGTGGCACACTGTGAACCACAGTAAAGAGCCTCTGACCCACGTCATCCTGGGTTCATGCCCCTCCCCATCCTGTTGGGGCCACCCTCTTCCTGACGCCACCAATTGCCCCCCGCATTAGTTTCTCCGTGATCACTTCTTCAACTGATGTTTTTCCACAAGTTAAAAATTAAACTTAAAAATAAGGGTGTAAAAAAATACTTAATGAGAAATCATATAAAAGAAAGATTTTTTTTTTTTTAGAGTCACAAATAGTGTGTTCTCTAGTACCTGGGATTTGTTTTGGTTCAGCCAACAGGAGATCCTTGGAACAAAAATCTAATCAGTTAACTTTTCATAAGTCACTTGTCAACTCCACCCTTCATCTTGCCATCCCACTACGTGTCTGGATGTGCGCAGAACGTATTTCTACTAAATTCACACACACACACACACGACAGCTATTAGTCTCTGGTCTTGGTGCTGCCGAAATATCCCTTGTTTATGAGAAAGACCTTTTGCATCCAAGCAGGTTGAATTTGGGTGTTTTACCCTATTTTTGTCTACTCCATCTTCACAAAGCCACCTCTTTCACTACAGAATGTAGAGTTGCTGAAGATTTCATAAAAGGTAGAGCTGAATTCTGTGATGACCTAAGAGTCATTCTAAGTGAGGAGCTGAGAAACCCTCGAGTAACCCAGACCCAGCGTCCAGGGCTCTTTCTCAGGTATCGGAGTAGAGACCATGTTAGGACCTCTGTGGTGCCTGACTTTTCACCTGCCCCTGGGCTGCCCCCAGAGTGCATCTGTTGCCTGAGATGGAGAATCCCTGAT